TTTGGTATGTTCGTTTATAAAAACGGTAGACATCTTCTGACGTAATTTAATTTATTTTATCTATTCCAGCGGCGTCCGAGGACTCACTCCTGTTGCTATTAATAAGTAAACATATGAGATGACACTGCTTTTTCTTAGGTATCATATTTTCTTCTAATTGTGCGATTAAAAATACAACTTTTTTTGTCTCTTTACTTTTTTTAATATTTTGCTTCGTTTTCGAGCAAAAAATTAATATCCTTTCATATTAACATTCTTAAAGGAAGTAGAAAACAAAAATAGAAATTCAATGTTTAAGTTATTGACTAATCAACTTTAACAATACATTTGAAGGAAAAACAATGCAACAATCTGAGAAACAATTCACAACTCACTAAATAATATTTTTTAAATAATTAATATTAAGAAACATAAGAAAAAATATTTAACAAACAGCAATGATATGAAAAATACTTTACATACACAGGCGTTACAACAGTTGTTGAAAATGTGCACCTTCAACTCTAATACAGGCATCTATCCTACGACACATATGATTGGCGAACCCGTTCAAATATTCCGACTGTGTTTCTAATTGTTTCATATGATGTGACAATGCGGTTTCTTAATTCGTCTATGGTTTGCACTGGAGTCGTATAAACCAAATGTTTGAGGTAACCCTAAAAGAAAAAATCCAACGAATTTAAGTCGGGAGTCCTCGGGGGGCAAGGTTGAGTGCCTCCTCGACCTATCCAGCGATTTGGGTAGATACTGTTCAAATGTTTACGTGCAGCTAAACTGAAATGGTGGAACACCATCGTGCATAAAATACATTTGCAACCTTAATTGCAATGGGATGTCTTCCAAAAGTACAGGCAATTCATCCTCAAGAAAATGGCGATAAATATCTCCAGTAAACCTCGGTGGTAAAAAAAATGAGCCTATTAAGTGGTCTCCCACAATTCCGACCCATACATTAAGTGAAAACTGGTGTTGATGACGGCCTTCTAATATTGCATTTGGGTTCTCGTCCGCCCATACATGATTATTATGGAAGTTCATTATGTCTTTTCCAGAAAAATTCGCCTCATCCGTGAATAGTACCTCTGCTAAAAATTGATGATTTTCCCCAATTTTTTGTCGTATTCATCGACATAAATCTAATCTTAACGGAAAATCAGTCGGTAAAAGTACCTGAACCTGTTGGATGTGGTAAGGGTATAGAAAATAATTTTTTTAAAATCCTGAAAATTGTAGAACGACTTGCATTTAAGTTTCTAGCAATCTATATGGTACTTGTTAGAGTGTCCTCAATATCATGAAGTACATCTTCCTCCAATAATTGTAGGGTTATTGCTGTGCGGAGTCGCCCGTTTCCTGCGGTAAGTTTTCGAACACTTCCAGTTTCACTAAGACGTTGATGAAGACGGGTGAAAATAGTATGATGAGGAATTATACGATTAGAGTATTTCTGCACATAGAAGCGCCTGGCGGCTAATGCATTACTGTTGGCAAGGCCATAAAGAAAATGCATATCGCACAATTCACTATTTGTGTAATTCATTTTGACAAGCAGGAATTGACAACTACACAATTCAAGTACTTATTAAAATCACACACTTAAGCCATTAATTTTTTCCTTGAAAACGAAGCAGAATATCAAAAAAAAGTGAAGTGACAAAAATGTTGTATTTTTAATCGCATAATTAGAAAAAAATTATGACACCTAAGAAAACGCAGTGACGTCTCAAATGTTTACTTATTAATATCAACAGTCCCCGGACGCCGCTGGAATAGATCAAATAAATCAAATTACGTCAGAAGACGTCTACCGTTTTTATAAACAAACATACCAAATTTCAAAAAAATCGGAATTAGGGTTCTCAAGATATTAGTACAAACCTTGTATTTTCTCTAAATTTCAACACCCTGTATCTCCGAAACGAAGCATTTTCGGACATAGATTTATAGGAACTTTCTTTCTTATTTTTGGTCAAGGAAACTGTAATTGAAAAGTGATTATGATTAGGTATAGTACCTACAGCACCGCCTTCGACCACAAAAATATACATAAAGAAACGTGGATAGCACCAAATGGCGAGACAAAGAACCAAATTGATCATGTCCTTATAGAGAGAAAACATGCTAAGGACCTTACTGATGTGAGCAGTTACAGGGAAGCAGACAATGACATTGATCACATATTAGTTATAACAGAAATGAGGCAGCAACGACCTTTTGAGAAAAAATATGTGAAAAGGGGAGAGCGGGTGAGATATGATGTAGCAAAACTAAAATACATGCCAACAGCAGTGCATTTTGAGCGAGAAATGGCAAGAGAATTGGCAACGAAACCCCATAAGGAGCAGATAAAACAAGAATGGGCACAGATCGAGACTGTTATGGAGAAGGTGGCAAGAAAGATATTGGGAAAGTGTAAAAGGAAACAAACAAATAAATGGTTTGATGAAGAATGTAAGCAAATGTTGGGACGGAGAAATAAAGCACGGCTGAGGTTACTAGAGGAAAGGAGCGAAAACAACAAACGGAGGTACAAGCGCGCACGTAGGGAAGCCAAGGCGATTGGCAGCAGGAAAAAGAAGGAACATCTAGAGCAGGAACTAAAGGAAATCGAAGAATTGTATGTTAGTAAGGAAATGATAAATTTTTATCAGGGAGTTAAAAAAAGTAAAAACAACAGCGCCAGACAACCCCAGTATTTGAAAACTCAAGATGGCTCCTTGGTTGGAGATACAGAAGGGAAATTGCAGAGATTTGCCCAGTATTTCACAGAAATACTAAATGAGAATGGGGAGGAAGACTGTTCGAGAGAAAATGAGATGGATATGCCAAATGACGGTGAAATTGTAAGTGTACCCACAAAGGAAGAAGTAGAAGATTGTACTAAACGGTTAAAAAATAACAAGAGTACGGGAGAAAATAATATAACGGCAGAAATTTTAAAGCATGGAGGGGAAACACTGGTAGTAAGAGTATAGGAGCTGATAAAAAAAACATGGGAAGAAGAGAAGATGCCAGAGAAGTGGAATAAATTGCTAATAATACCCATTCACAAAAAAGGAGCCAAGGAGGAATGCAATCATAATCGAGGGATTGCGCTACAAGATGTAACATACAAAGTGGTAACGAGAATAATTAAAAACCGATTGGAAAAATATCGTAATGAATAAGTGGGGGAATACCAAGGAGGGTATAGGGCAGAAAGATCAACGACCGATCAAATATTCATCATGATGCAGATCCAACAGAATACTTATGAGCAGAATTTGAGTTTACATTTGCTGTTTATCGACTTTCGGCAAGCCTACGACTCCATTAGTAGAAAGAAGTTGTTGCATTCAATGAGGCAGTTAGGAGTCCCAGAGAAGTTATTGAAGTTGGTGGGGATGACTATTAGAAGAACAGAAAATAAAGTTACAATGAATGGGGCAGTATCTGAGGAGTTCAGTGTAATGAAAGGTTTGAGACAAGGAGACCCACTGTCCGCAGTGTTGTTTAATTTGGTGCAGGAAGTGATTTTGAGGGAAAGTGGCATAAATATGAGAGGGCTTATACAGGGTGGTCCCGAGGTTATGGGCCAAAATTCATGGGTAGATTCCCGAAGCAAAAATATTGCGATTTAGCCGAACTTACCTTAGTCCAAAACTTGATAGTTAAAGAGATACAGGGTGTAAAATGTAAAATATTATTTTAGTTTATTTCAATTTATTTCTTAATAAATGCAAATATCTACACAAAATTTTGGGGTTTGGGGTTCTTTGGATAGAGGAATTGAAATTTGTTCACATTTTGGTTATAGTTCATAGAGGGCGCCAGCTGCCGTAGATTGAAGGTGTTGAAAACGACATAACTTTTTTGTACTTTAAGGTATCTCATCTTTGGTATCAAATTCTTATTTTCCAACTTTTTTTACACAAAAAAGGTAGACTTTATGAAAGTAGCTGTCTTGCACCGTTACCGAGATATTTGGCTTTAAAACTTCCAATGCTAATAGTTGAAATAATTAAAATAATTTAGAAATGTCAAAAACAAGGGTTTATTTAGAATTAAAAATTGTAATGAACAGTAAAATAATAAACATTAGTAAAGAATATGCCGTTTTGACAATAATTGCTCAAAATGTCCACCTCTAACTTCAATACATTTATCAAAAAAATTGTCTTATTTTAAAGGATAAATCCTTAATGCGAAATGATTTTGCAGCATTTAAAATCTGCTACTAAAGTTCTTCTCAAGTGTTTATAGTTTCTCCATAAACAACTGATTTCATGTAACTCCAAAAACGAAAACCTCGGCAGTCTATCTCACATTTATGTAGACGAGTATACAATTTAATTCGTAAGCTAAGATGTAATTTTAATTAAATACGAATAATACTTAATAGAAATTAGCATACGGCATATGACAGCAATAAGACAAGTGGAAGACGTCAATTATTTGATTTTCGTCCAAATCCTACTTAAGAAACTTTACCACTAAATTAATAATACCTGTAGGTACTTAATTGTAATTTAATGCAACAGCATTGGAAGTTTGAAAGCCAAATATCTCGAAAACGGTGAGAGATAGCTACTTTCATAAAGTATACCTTTTTTGTGTGAAAAAAGTTGAAAAAGAATAATTTGTTACCAAAGATGAGATAACCTTAAAGTACAAAAAAGTTATGTCGTACATTCGATATATTGCAGCTAGCGCCCTCTATGAACTTTAACCAAAATGTGACCAGATTTCAATTCCTCTATCTAAAGAACCCCAAACCACAAAATTTTGTGAGGATATTTGCATTTGTTAGGGAATAAATTAAAAAAAACTGAAATAATATTTTACATTTAACACCCTGTATCTCTTTAACTATCAACTTTTGGACTAAGATAAGTTCGGCTAAATCGCAATATTTTTACTTGGGGAATCTATCCATGAATTTTGGCCCATTACCTCGGAACCACCCTGTATATGGCAGCCGACACCAGTGTTTAGCTTATGCCGATGACATTGTGCTGATGGCGAGATCCGAGGAAGAAGTAACAAGGGTTATTAAGTTGTTGGAAGCAAAAGCAAAAGAATATGGCCTAGCAATCAATGAAAATAAAACAAAATATATGGTGATGAAAAACAATACCAGAGAACTTCCAGCAAATTTAAATATTAGTTGCACTGCAAATAGGAGATATATGACAGAGAGAGTAGAACAAGTCGAATATCTAGGAGTAACGCTAACGTGTAAGGGCGATGAAGAAAAGGAAATAGAAAAAAGTTTAGCGAAAGGAAGTAATGCTGCGGGAATGTTTTCAAGATTTTTAAAAGCAAAGAATATAACAAGAGCAACGAAAGTACAGGTGTACCAAACAATATTAAGGCCTACAGTTACTTATGCATGCAAGACGTGGACAATGAGAAAGAAAGAGGAAAGCAAGTTAGAAGTCTGGGAACGAAAAATACTAAGGAAAATTTTTGGAGGAATTAAAGTCCAAAACGAATTCAGGCGAAGGACAAATAAAGAACTAGAGGAGCTGTATAAAAACCCAAACTTTGTTCAGGTGGTCAAAATGCAAAGAGCTAGATGGTTGGGGCACATAGCGAGGATGTCCGGCGAAAGCTGGGTTAAAAGAATACTGATACAAGGTGAAGGAGGAAAGAGAAGAAGTGACAAAAGACGTGAGGGATGTAGGCGTCAGAGATTGGAAGGAAGAGGCCCTGGATCGAAAAAGATGGGAAGAACGGCCAAGGGCCGTTAGGCCTGTAGAGCTGATGTATATATAATACCTACCGTACACAATTTTCAATAACGTTCGTGCAAAAATTCAGGAAGCATAAGATAAACATACGATTTAAAAATATAGTTTTTTTTTTCTTGTTGTCAGTTGTATTACATCCTGAAGAAAACTTATGTAACTGATATAACCAGTTATATAAGAGATATTGTTTCTAACTTGCTTAGATTTTCTAAAATGCTGAACATTGCGTTTATAAACGCTCTCTTTAAGAGGCAGTTACTATTTATTTATGTACAAATTTTTAACATTTGTATCTTTAGTCGATTTAAGGAAAACCTTTTTAACAACCTATTTCTCGGAAAAACAACGTTAATGGGAGGAACTACATTTGCTATTTTTCCAAAAGGAACTCATCCCCTCCTGCGTCCAAGGTTCTTTAAATTATAAAAAGGACACTCAGTATAATAGAATAAATATAGTAGAAACATAATTCATGCCAGCTCATTATTATTAAACTAAGAGCCCGTCCATTAGCAATTCTACCCTCCCCATTGGAAGTATTCCACTGTTGATGGCCATGATCACGGTTAACGATGCTAAAATGTTTAAATAATGTGCATGCGTATGTATTTATTATGCTGCATCCTCCTTGAAGGAAGAGCAAGACTAATCAACACCATATTTGACAATGAATTATTGTAGGAAACATTTAGCTCCAATAAAGCGAAATTACATTTTCCGCCTATTATCGTGGACTGTTATTATTTTGTCCTTAGTACTTCAACTGCTTTATCGCACGGCCCGTTGGAATGTTAGCGCGTTTGCAGCAGCAATGCCGCACTTAATGGAAATTAACAAACGTGTATTATAATTTCTCTGGCTTCCACACCTACCATGATATCCGTAGTAGTTTTTATTATACAGCGTGTACTGTTTAAAGCTCCCGAGGCCTACGTCTCGAAAACTAGAAGAGATATCTAAGACATGTAAAAAGTGTGCTACAAAATTTCCTTGGTTTAGCTGCTAGAATGCATGAAAATTAACAAAAAACAATTATTTTTTTTTAAATAACTTCGAAACGACCTGTGAACGAAGTAATTCGATTAACAGAACCGAGAGAAATACGCCTTCCCTTGAATTAATCTGCTCATATTTCGTCAGGTTATATTTTTAAAAGATGAAGGGTTTTTAAAACAGAAGGTATAGTATGTGAGTATTGGTAGTGAGGAACAACTGTGGAACATTACTGAAGATGCTGTTCACAATTTGCAGAATGAAAGAATACTAAGATGAGTGTATTTTAATTTTTTACCTAGAATCAAATTATGTATTACAGAAAACCGTGGTCATATGGACAGTTCTTATCTAATAAATTGCTTTTGAAATGATGTAATTAGTTCAAGTTTGAATCGAAAATGTAACGAGCGTTCAAATAAAAACGTGGTCGAAGTTGGCTCTGACACATTGGAAGTAGGGAGTAGCTTATAGCGACCAACTTAACCTCATTTCTCAACGAGCTGTATAGCAGCTGTCAGTTTCAATAACGTTAATGACTATATAACTTTATTTTAAAGAATAATCGTGATAACAATAACAAACAATTAAAGGAGCTGCGGAAAGTGTCCCCCTCCTTGTTATAACAATAAATTAAAGCAGCTGCTGAAAGTGTCCCCCTCCTTGTTCCAAGCACTTTTCACACCTGTTCCTCAAAGAATTAAAGACATTTTCTAAGATGCTCGGGGTATTGTTAATTTCACGAATCTTGTCTATAAGTCGAGCCTGCAGATGGTTTAAATCAGGAATAGGCAGTTCAAAAATAGTGTTTTTAAGGTAAGGCCACAAAAAGAAATCACACGGCGTAATATCACATGACCTCGGTGGAAATTCATGTTCAGCATTGAGACTTATTAGTCGATTTTGGAAAACTTCCCTCAACATATTCATCGTCTCGCCTGCCGTATGTGCCCTTGCGCCATCTTGTTGAAAGTAAAAGTTTGTAATTTCGTTTTCTTCCAGCTGGTTAACAAAAGGAGCGATAATTTCTTCTCTATACCTTTGCGCAGTAAGAGTACCATTAAAAAAAATAGGTCCATAAATCCTCCTTCGATTGAGAGCACACCAAACTCCAATTTTTTGAGCGTGTAGAGGGCCCTCGACAAAAAAGTTATCTGGTTTTTCAGAAGACCACATTCTCATATTCTGTGAGTTTACGTAACCACTTAAATGAAACCAGGCTTCATCAGAAAAAAAGGTGATATTATGAAGTTCACCGTAGTTGTTTAAAAACCATTCACAAAATACAGCCCGTCGCGGAAAATCAACTTCATGAAGTTCTTGCTGACAAGTTAAACGATAGGAGAACAAACGCAAATCTTTTTTTAACACTGTGTGGCAGGTACCGACTGATACTCCCACCATTTGTGATAAAACACGTACAGAAGTTCTTGGCGCATTTTCCATTATTTGTTGGACATTTTCTTTTAATTCTTCAGTCCGCTTTTTAGGTCGGCCGCTTCCTTCTTTTCTTGTTACACTGCCCGTTTCACGAAAAACATTAACACAACGCTGAACTGCACTTTGAAAAATTTTGTACTCAACAACGCCGGGAAATTGATTTTGAAATTCTATGAAACATTCCTCAATAGAATACTTCCATATTCCATCAATCTTGCGTCCATTTCTAAAGTAGGACTCTATGATAAACACTTTTTGTTCTTGAGAAAACACCATTTTAAACGCTTTTTAAAACGAAAATATTCAAATTGATAGCGGCGATATAGCGTTTTGACAGATGACGTTTAAGTTCATTTGCTATACGCTACGCCCTACGTCCAAATTTTCAGAACCAACTTGACCACGTTTTTATTTGAACGCTCGTTGTTAGTAATGATCTAATAAAAAAATTAACTGATCAAAACTATTACATAAACGATTTTAAAAGAGGAGAAAATTTTTTGGAAAGCCTTAATTTTTAAGACAAAAACAGGGATGTTGTTTATCTCCTACCTTATTTATGATCTATTTGGACCATGCCCTAAAAGAGTGGCCACGTAAGTATAAAAGCATGGGACTTCGGGTGGGGATGACACCCATTAGAGTCTCTATTTTGCTGGTGGCCAAGTAGTGATTGCGGAGGATGAAGAAGACTTAAACTATATGGTTAGAAAACTACGAGAAGAGTATGAAGAGGCTGGACTGACTTAAGTGGCGTCGAAAAATGTAAATACCTAGGAGTGGCCTTCAGCAATCAAAGGAGGAGTAAGGACGAGATCCAGCAAAGAATAAATAAATGCAGAAAAACTATTGGAGCACTCAATTCAGTTTTATGGGAAAAGGACAATAAGTACAGAAACTAAAATGCGTATTTAGAAAACTATTATCCAGTGTTATGATATACGGTGCGGAAAAATGAGATCTAAGCAAAATCAATAAAAGAAAATATCAAAAGAAGGGATATGAACATCGAGAGAGATAATACGGACAAAGTTGAAAAGAAACAATTGATATGGTTAGGACATATAAAGAGATATATTAGAATATTAGAATGGATACCCCAGAGAAAAGAAAGAGGGAAAGACCGAGAAGAAGCTAAAGAGAGGATGTTAATGAAGCGATGGAATCAAGAAATTTAGAGGAAGGTATGTGTTATGACAGAAGAAATTGGAAAGTGCGTACAGAGAGGTGGCGCGCGGCCTTAGATAATCCGTAGACTGAAAAAATAGAACCTGACAAAATGATTAACAGATTAGTTCAAAGGAGACAACATTTTTCACAGTTCTGTTAATCCAATTACTTCGTTTACTATGTTATGAACTGATATCTATATGGAAGTATTAGGGTACCAAATGTCATTAAAATTTTACAAAGCGTTTCAAAGCTGTTAGAAATTTTTTTTTCAGTTTTGATGTCCTATAGCGTCCAAACGAAGCAACTTAAGATAGAGGCAAGGTTAGTTAAATCTACTTATGTTGATCGCAAAACTGTGATATCACTGTGTATATGGAACATCCGATCCCGAAAGTGGAATGGGCTCTAAGAGTATATTCCAATTGCAGTGACCGACGGCGCACTGAGGTTACGGGAATTTCCGCTACACCGCACCGTACCAATATTTTCGGCTGAACGGCCAGTACAAGACTGATATAAACTTCATTCGCTCGTCTGTCGTATAGTGCTCCATTATGTCTAACCGCAATATGTTTACTACAACATGTGACCCTACACAATGCTGCCAACTCTTCGGGATGAAAATGGCAAACAATTCAAATCCTGCGTTACTTTTTTTTACTCTTTATTTATTAACTTAGAGGAAATCCTCTGAATAATACAGAAAATAATAATTCTATCCAAGAGTAAAAAGTGGAGTCCAAAAAAAATTGTAATTAAAACAAACTGGATAAGCATAACCTTAAAAATGAATTCTAAAGCAACATTTCATCATTTCACTCGGTATACCCCAGGGATAAACACCAGGTACACCATATACCATGTGAATGAGAGAAAGATTGTATAGGTATGACAAAGATCTTAAAGTTCAAGTTACCTACCTGAAAAATCAGCCCTAGACAAAAACGCATTATATTAGACATTAAATACAGCAGAAGCTCTAGTTTTGCCATGTCTGCAGATGTGCAGTGGACCTAAGTATCAAGTACCTACCGAAAATCGTTTGTGTACTATTTTGACCTGTACCTGTGGAAACAACTTAGTCAAACGAGAGGCACTGGAAGTGGAACAAAATTCAAATAACATGAGTCACGATGAAGGCCCTCGGATAAGTAGAACCACTAGATCTCCGTGAGACTGCATGTATCACCCTAATGCGCAGATGTGGAGTAAGGCGCAGCGACACCGAAAATGCACATGCAATAGGACGCACCTTTTGCCCTACTCCACAAGATTAGAAACTCTCGCAACTGTACTACGTCAGAGGTGCAGAACACAAAACTTGCCATACCACTCCCACCATTTTACTGCACAAATTTAGATGAGCGCAGCGATATTGATACTAAGCCTGCTAC